GCAGAAAACATGGGACTAAAAAGAGTTTATTGTCTCATGACACAGCTGTTGTTTATTTCAAACAACTCTAGTCTGAGAAGGATAGCAATCTTATTCTTCATATTAAGTGAAAATTTCATTCCTGTGACCTTCTCACCTGGTCTTATTTCTGCCTCCGGGGTCACAGAAGTAGTGTGCTTGCTTCTCCCTAAGAGTGCTTTAAGAGTTTTAATCTACATTCAGACCTCAAAGCTACCATATTAATATAATGAGGAAGTTAAGGAAAGGAAGACTAGAGCTTCTAGAGGTAAATGTGTGAATACTGTTATTACAGTGAGTCTTCTGGGATTTCTTTTCCTGTGATATGTCTGGCGTTGGTGACCATTGGGTTGGATGTGGTCTACATTCCCTGTGATAAGGTGCAGTACCGCCAGAGGAGGAACTGCCAGGCACCATAGCAAGCTCTTCTCTGGATGACAGGAGTGTCCTCACCCTGGACTCAGAGGGCACTGTTGTCTGGATGCAATGGAGTCACTGCCCAAGTCCAGCTCTTATGAACCCCTTTATTTGTAGGAAGGCTTCACTAGGGATGGTGGACCAAACACTGTTGACCTCCTGCTTCTTGATGAGGCAATACCACTCACTTCCTCTCCAATAAGTCATGTGAGTACAGCTTTTGGCTCACACACAGAGGATTTCCTAGCCCCAAGCCCCTCTTATAATTCTGGTTTTCATTTCTAGGAGAATCTGATGTTACTAGTAGACTGTGAAGAAAGGAAAACGAAGAACCTCAGACCACGCATCCACTGCAGAGATGGAATAAAATCTTACCCAGGGGAAAACCAAACTCCTCTCGAGGGCACTTGTGGGGTCCTGCACAAAAGAAGCCAGCAGAGAGCGCGTCTGGCCTTAGGGAGTCTGAGTAGAAGGCCAGCCCTTAAAAAAGAGTGGCCCCTTCCTTGTGGAGAGGCTAGCAGAGGGACAGCTATGCCAATCAGAAAGGGCTCAAAAGAGTTAAATTGTTGTTAAAGCTACATGTCACATTCGGATTTATCTGTGGTGTCCTATGTCTAAAGTTTTCTAGTGCTTTATTCATTCTTTTATTCAACAATGTTTATTGAACACTTATTGGTTGCTAGTCTTTGTTTTAGGAAAAGATGGAAGAAAACTCTTTGTCCAATTTCCCCAATTCACCTTGAAGCCTCTATCTCTTCTATTCTTTAATAATCATTAATAATCCTTGTCTAAATCCCTCAGCAATTGAATGTCTTTTTCTCCTTTGTTCTGTATATTAAATGTTGACTACATCATCCACCATTTCAACAAATTAGAAAACTAGGAATAACTCCAGGCCCTTCTTCCCTTCTCCTTTCAATTTGTCCACCCCATCCTACTGGTTTTGTATGCTAAACATTTATTAAATTTATCCTGTCTTTTCCCACTATCAGCGTTGCACCTAATCTGTCAGTATCTTACCTCTTCTTCATTTTCCAGTGTTACCTGTCAGCACCTTCCTATTCAGAATTTAAATAAAAAATGTTTGAATTACTTGATTTCATACACTCTCCTGCTGTGTCTTGTCTCTATTTTCTCCCCTCCCTGTTTGCCTGGCTTATTCCAGTCCATCTTTTAATATTTAGCCCACACATCTCTTAAGTTTTTTCCATATTACTTCTTTCCCATCCTTTTCCACCAAATTGCCCCTTCTTGTGTCCCCCAAAAGTCTGCATACATCTTTGTTAATGCTCTTTCCACTTTTTATTTATCACTAGACTATGAGTTCCTTGAAAACAAGGACAGCTCTGTCTTATTCATCTTTATGTCCTGCTCCAGTCCTGTAACTGAGTTGGCCCTCAGTGAATATTATTGATGTCAGTCGATATCTTTAAATCAATTTGACGGTACCTTTGAGGCCCCAGACAGAAGAGAGTTCTCCAAAGAGAAACATCAGTAAAGTTATCTTTATCCTGGATTGTATCCCTGGACCCCCTCTTGTAGTAGCTCTTCCTCATATGATGAAGTTTCTGATAGTGAAATCTAGTATTGAAATACATCCCCTTCATTCATACTGATGTTTCTGAGTAGTAATAAGTAGGATAACTCCTTTTTCTTACTGTTTGCCCAAATGGAAGAGGCTCCCTAGAAAGGAAAATATACGAGGTTTGAGATTTAAGAGACTGAAGCCAATGAATTTCTTTCGCATTGAATTCAGTGAACGCTGGGGTAACATAAGGGCCCGTGTAGAACTGCAATAGCACAGAGCTGGCAGAGATTAGCAGTGCTTTCATGCTATTTTGTTTACCATAATGAACTGGTCAATAAACATCACAAATTGTTTATCTATATAAATCTTGACAGATTACTCTTTATGAAATCCATTTAGCAAGTGAGGTTTTCCCATAAGGATGAAAAATGAAGATTTTAAACAGATTGCGGGAGAAGCCCTAGCTATACCAGGAGAGTCAGTGTAATAAAGGTTTCTTTATATTAATATTACAAAAACCATTTATCCTGACAAAATCAATATCACAATTCATCTGAGTTTGGCATTTCTCTTTCTAAGCTTAAAACGTCTTTTTCTTTATTACATATAATTTTGTTTTAATAAATGTGAAATGTATTTCATTTAGTAGATGCTCTTGAGGAAGGATAACTTATAAAATGATATCAGACCTGTAGCTTATTTGCTAAGGAGTCTTGGAAATGTTTAAAATTATATTTGAGAGGCTGAGAAATTTACAGGAATCATTTTGCTTAAACTTTAATTACAAAATTATACCCAGTGTCCTTTAGGCTAGAAACAAACTATAATATTCAGAAAAGTCTCCTGTAAACTTCATCCAGGTAAAAATCTCTCTTATTAAGTCAAGCAATTATAAGTCAGAGAAGTTCCATATGAAAAGAGTTGAGATAAGAGACGGTGAAACCAGTGAGTCATATTTAGTTACTCAAAACACTATGTGGTTTCTAAGAAGCAGTTTATTTATTCCATTTGGATTTGGAACTTAATATCCCATGGATATTGACAGAGCTGACTTGGAGTTAAGCATGTAGCAGTTAGCAGGAAGAAAATAGATCTCCATCAAGGAAGGGAATTATACACTGGAAACTATTACTCTAAATGTACTGTATGGAAAATAAATGTGATTGTCTCATGAGTGAATGGTAATAAAAGCTGAAATACTCAAGAGACACTTATTCATGAGTGGTGTAGTGATATATATGTGCATTGAGAGAAGCTTGTCTCTTATTGTTTATGCTTACCAATATTATACTAACAGCCGACAAACAATATATTCTAAGTAATAGCATATAATGAAGTTAGGAGCAAATTAAATATTTTGTTGCTTCTGTAATTCCATTTTAATTTCCATGCATAATTTTCGTCAGCTCTAATACTTAAATAGGCTAAACAAGATATCTGTTTGAGATGGAATTCTGTCTACACATAAAGGACACCGTGTAGTTGTTTGGAGGGGAAAAATGTACTCTTATCATGACATAAAAAGGGCAAACCTCAAACTATGGTATAGTAGTTTTCAAGACAAACTGTACTTTATTTACTCCCAAGGTGATATTAGTCCATAAAACAAATTTTCAGCTTATTTAGCAGCCTTAGCTTTTATCAGCTTTTTTAAGGGTGTTGAATGATTACCCAGGAGATCACACACTGTAAAAGTTGCAGTGAGATGAAGTAACTCTATCCATCCAGCATCTTTATTAGAAAATATAGGTGAAGCCACACTGTTCATGTTGTTTTCAATGTGCCCTCTGGAAAGCTCCTCTTTAAAGGTCGTGGTCTTCTTATGTGTGATGTTTTGCGTAACGCTTCATGCTGTGCTGGGCTCTGCTATGCTTAGTCGCTCAGTCATGTCTGACTCTTTGCAACCCCATGGAATGTAGCCCGCCAGGCTCCTCTGTCCATGAGGATTCTCCAGGAAAGAATACTGGAGTGGGTTGCCATGCCCTGCTCCAGGGGATCTTCCCAACCAGGGATCGAACCCAGGTCTCCCACATTATAGGCAGATTCTTTACCATCTGAGCCACAGGGAAGCCCTAAGACTTCATGGTGGTACTATCCCAATCTATGACATTGACACGCTCCGAGTGAAAAATTCACTGTGAAGAAACAAGTCTCAGTTACTATCATGGTAAAATGCCAAGACTGATTTTTACAATCAACTTTTAGTCCAAGAAATTTAAGTTGAAACGAAGTTCTTTCATTATGTTTGCATTGATAGCATCTCTTCATAGATCAGAATAATGCTCTCATCATTTTGGGTAAAGGAGTTTAATACAAAAGTTAAAAATGATATATAACATATGTAAGGCATTAGCAATATTTGAACATATCTTCCTCAAACTGTTTTCTTAGCAAAATTTAGTCTTTATTAAACTATATAATTTTGACTCTTTAAAAGACTGTAGGATTACAAGACTTTTAGGGGTAGCCATAATTATCACACCCAGTTTTCTATTTCACAGCTTGAAAGATACTTAAAGAGATAATTTTTATGGGTGCACGTTTAGTAGCTCAGCCGTGACCAGCTCTTTGCAATCCCATGAGCTGTAGCCTGCAAGGCTCTTCTGTCCATGGGGTTCTCCAGAGAATACTGGAGTGGGTTGCCATTTCCTCCTCCAGTTTGGGTATCGAATCTTAATTTTTAGCTGTCGGGAGAACTGCTTTTGTGAGGATGAGAAGTTTACAGTGTTCTTAACGGAACAACTAGCATGCAAAATAAGTCACAAGATGTATCATTGCATATAAAAAAGCAATATAACACTTTCTTGCTATTAATTAATGTACAAAGAGAAGGCTTTGTAGAGATTTTATTGTGAATAGCATTTTGATAAAGGTATCTTTCTGTTTTATTTGTGTTTGTTTAGCTCAAGAATCTTTTTCAATATACCAACTAAAACAGACTATTTTATTCCACAGTGTTATAAATAGATGTAACTTTTTTCATGGATTACTAATCAAAGCATTATTTTCTTTAATGGTTTATTTGTCTTATTTTCAGATGTCAGCCTTGCAGTTGTCATCTCTCAGGAGCCTTAAATGAAACCTGTCACTCGGTCACGGGCCAGTGTTTCTGTAAACGATTTGTTACTGGATCAAAGTGTGATACCTGTGTTTCCAATGCAAGCCATTTGGATATCAGCAACCCATTGGGCTGTAGCAAAAGTAAGTGAACTCTGGTCCATGTATGAAGCAACATCACACAGGGCAGTGTCTCATTAATTTCTTTCTTCATTGAGAATCCATCAGAAAGGCTTAGGTGCAATTTGGAGAATTTAAGTGAGGAAAAAAAAAAACTAAATGAAATCTGGGTTCTTTTCCTTGATTGGAGCATTGGATATAGTTATGCAATTATCTGAGTAGTGGGAAATTTACACTGGTCTGTTGGAATGGTATTGCTAGCAAGGTGACTATATAGTCTTGGTTTACCCCAGACTGAAGGTTTTCCCAGAATGTGAGACATTCCACGTAAAATTTAGGATAGCATTGTGAAACTGATATGACTGGTTAACTTGCCACTTAACATTTACAGGTGATTTCCATAGGAAATGGAAGATTTATACTTATTTGTTGTGAGTTTTATGTCCTCCTATCCTCCCAGTTTTATAGACACTATGCTGCTATTAGATGTTTATTGATATTGTAGCATTTATTATCATTGTTTATCACTGTATGTTACTCATGTAATTGATATTCCTGCCTTTCTACTTTAAGTTGTATTAGTTGTTTCAACATCTCTCACATTTTTGTGTTAACTCTTAGAAGCCAAAAGTTACATCATAGTGTCTTGACTTTTCAACATTATTCTTCAGCGCCTTGAAGTGACTTCTCAAGATCACTTGCAATATGCTACAATTTCATAGCATATTGGTGATTTCTTTATATTTACTTCAAGATAGTATATCATTGCCTTTCTCAGAATGCCCCAGAAATACCTACTAAGAACATGTGGTAAGGATTCCTCAATAATATATTGCACAATGCATTTCCTCCTTGAGGTGTTGTGAGACCATATCATGAGTCACAATGCTAGGAAATGCCACAAGTCCAGACAAATCATCATAAACAAGCATGTCTGGAAGAGTGCTATCTATATTTAAGGGAGAGACAGAGAAGTAATAAGATATTGAGTTCCACAGCAACTACACTAGATTTTGAGGTAGTGAAAGGCAGGGTGTAGCTAATGATTAAAAAGACATATTCAGCTTTTGTATCTGTGTGTTTTATCTTCAGTATCCTGTGTTTCATTGATCTCTGTGGGTTTTAGTATAAGTAAAACCATAGGTATTTATGCTAAACTGGGAAAGGAGTATAATAATTGCCTGTGTGTGTAAATATAGTCAGAACACCAACCTAGATTCACTGAACATTTAATATTTATTATTCATTGATTAGCTATATAATTAATTGATTTGTGAGCAACAGAAATTCCAGCATATTTCCTTGGTTGCCAGTCATAGAAATCATTTATAATAGAATTGTGACAGTTTTACATTCACATATGGAATCATAGCAATGTTTTGATCAGTTCTGCCACAAATGTTGTATGAAAATATAAGCATCTGCCCCCTTTTCACTACCTGTGCTCACACCTGAGACACAGTCTAGGAATTATACCTCAGGCAAAAGTGGATGGTCTGGTCACAAAACCTGGCCTACCTTTCTTAGTAGTGGTAGACATTTATTTTTATGTTAAGATTTTTCTTCTCTGGGTTAAGTATTTTTAGTCTGTCCAAAGGCTTTCAATTCTTAATAGTTAAAAAAAATTTGCATATTTATAATTACTCTTTTCTGGATATGGTCCTTTTGGCTTTCTATCTCTTTAAAATTGTAATCCTTAGTGTGGAACATGTTCATCCAGCTTCTCATGGTGGTGGTTTTGCTGCTTCTGTTTTAGGCTGGGGTTTCACAATGTTTACAAAACAAAGTTGGAAGCTCAGCATCAATAGAGATAAAGCATTTAAAAGATTAGACAGGTTTCCTGCCTGTAAAGAAGCACACAGCACAGTGTGTTCATCAACAAGCATGATGAACACAGTGAGAATAAAAAGGAGTAAACGAAGGGTGCAGAAAAGGGCTAACTGGGATGAACGTGAAGGGGGCTGCTTTCTGTCCTGTTCCACGTTGATTTTCCCGTGATCCTGGCTTTTTATCCCAGCAACAGGCAGAATAACCAACTGCACAAAGATAGGATGTTATTGAAAGGAACGTAGTGCTATCTATTGTTGAAACTGTGAACTACCTCGGCTGTGTATTTTTCTGTGTCCGACTAATTTCAAGAATCCAATTTGGGAACCACAGTATTGTAACTATTTTCTTTTACACTGCCTTAGCCATTGACAAAAGCTTAGTGATATCATCTGTGATCTTTTTTAAGACAGAGAATCAGGGTGGGAATCCTAGGATATACGTTCTAGAATGCAGGAGAATGAATTAAACTAAAGTAGTTAGACCTTCTCTCATAGTCTAACTTATTATGTAATTTAGTTTCCTTATTATGTGATTTAGTTCTTTCCTGTGAATAACTGTTGTATGCTTTTAAAATGATAGTCATTCTCTTTGATACAGAGATAGACATAGAAGGTATTAAAGAGTTCTGCTTTCTGAGTGCTTTCCTACTGAATGATATACCATTTGCCCTAAGCTTCTGGCTCTGAATTTAACTAAACAAACAAATATATTTATGTATGCATATGTCATGTATGTACCTAAATCTTTTTTACACCCAACTCACATTTATATTTATTCTTGGTTATTTAGTGGTCTTCTTTCACATTTTTATCTCTACTTCTCAGAGAGGATCTCATAGTTCTCCTTTAAAAACTATTTTATTGTGATAAAATATGCATGCATTAAGTTTACCATATTAACTATTTTTAAATGTACAGTTTGGTGATGTTAGATACTTTCATAATGGTGTGCAGCCATGACTACCATCCATCTCTGTTAACTGTCTTCTGCTTGTGAAACTGAAACGCTATACCCAGTAAGCAGTAAAATCCCTCCCCCACATTTCCCCCTGCCTCCTGGCTACCATAATTTTACTTTCTGTCTCTATGATTTTTAATAATCTAAGTATTTTATATAAGGAATAACAAAGTATTTGTCTTTTTGTTACTTTTGTTAGGTATTCTGCTTATTTCACTTAGCATATGTCCTCCAGGTTTATCCATATTTTAGCATATGCCAGAATTACCTTCCTTATAAGACTGAACCATATCCCATGACATGTATATACCCCCTTTTGCTCACCCGTTCATCTGTTAATACACAGATACTATGCTTTTGTTGCTATCATGCTTTAGCTTTTTTGAATAATGTTACTATGAATATGGGTGTACAAAGATCTCTTCAAGATTCCGCTTTCAATTCTACTGGGTATATTCTCAGAAGTAAGATTGCTGAATCATATGGTAATTCTACTTATACTTTTTGGAGGAAGCTGCTTTTCACAACAGCTTTACCATTTTGCATTCTTGCCAACAGTGCCCAAGGATTCCATTCTCCCTACCATCGTCAACATTTTTTTCCCGTTTATTTAAAGTAGCCTTCCTAATAATATAAATGTTATCTCATTGTAATTTTGTAGATGTGCATTTCCCCAATGGTTACTGATATTGAGCATCTTTTCATGTCCTTATTGGTTACTTGTGTAGATTCTTTTACAAATACCTACTCAAGTACATTGCCCTTTCTTAATTTAATTTTTTTGTTGTTTTTGTTGAGTTATAGGAGTTCCATATATATTATGGATGCTGGTCCCTTGCCAGGTATATGATTTGCAAATATTTTCTTTCATTCTGTGGGCTGCCTTTTTAATCTGTTGATAGTGTCTTTGGTGAACAAATTTTAAATTTTTTGATGGACTCCTACTTGTCTGTTTTTTTCTTTTGTTACCTGTGGTTTTAACATGTGAGAAATCATTGCCAAACTCGATGTTGCAAAGCTTTTCCCCTGAGTTTTCTTATTAGAATTTTATAGTTTTAGGTCTTGCATTTAAATCTTTGATCTATTTCAGTTAATTTTTATAGATGATGTTAGATAAGGATCCATCTACATTCTTTTGCATGTAGATGTCCAGTTTTCTGAGTTTCATGAATAGACGTTACTACCCCTTATTGAATGGTCTTGGCTTCCTTGTCAGAAATCATTTGACTATATAGGTGGGTTTTTATTTCTGGACTCTATTCCCTTGGTTTATATATCTGTCTTTATTCCAGGGCCACATTATTTGATTACTGTAGTTTTGTTGTAGGTTTGATATCAAAAAGTGTACATCTTCCAGTTTTGTTCTTTTTCCAGATTGTTTTGATTATTTTCGAGTCCCTTAAGATTGCATATGGATTTAGAGAATTTCCTACTTCTGCAAAAATGTCACTGAGGTTTTGACAAAGATTCTATTAAATTTGTAGATTTCTTTGGGTAGTACTGGCATTCAACAATTTTAAGTCTTCTAATCCATGGTTGGGTGTGTTTCCATTCCTTTACATTATCTTTAATTTCTTTCAACAAAGTTTTATAATTTTTGGTGTGTCTTTTATCTCCTTGATTAATTTAATTCCTAAGGATTCTTTTTTGATGCTATCGTAACTGTTTTCATAATTTTCTTTACAGATTTTTCATTTTCAGTGTATAGAGATACTATGGCCTTTTGTTTGCCATGCCTGCTGTTCAGTGTATCTGACTCTTTTGCAACCCCGTGGACTGTAGCCCGCCAGGCTCCTTTGTCCCTGGAATTTTCCAGGCAAGAATTTTGGAGTGGGTTGTCACTTCCTCCTCCAGAGGATCTTCCTGACCCAGGGATTGAACCCACGTCTCCTGCCTCTCCTGCATTAGCAACAGATTCTTCACCACTGAGCCACCTGGGAAGCCTACTGATTTTTGCTTATTGACTTTGTATTGTATTTTGCAGCATTGCTTAATTCATTTATTAGTTCTAAATGCTTTGTGTGTATGTGGAATCTTTAGGGTTTTCTACATAAAAGGTCATCTATAAACAAAGATAATTTTCCTTTTTGATTTGGGAGTCTTTTATTTTTGTTTTATGTCTAATAGCTCTGGCTGGAACTTGCAGTACTATATTGACTGAATAGAAATGATGACAGCAGGAATCCTTGTGTTGTTCCTGATCCTTGAGAAAAATCTTTAAGTCTTCAACCATTGAG